GGAGGTATGCAAAAACAGGCTTTTCAAGGAGGCTGTCATTTCACTTTGTCGAATGTCCTGCCCTAGCCAAAGGCTTTAGCCCTGAGCCATGGAGTGAACAAGTCATAGCTCACAATTCGCTGACACAGACATTTCCTTGAATGTACTCAGAACTCTGCTAGCACGTTGGCCTTGGAAAGCTGTCTATTTCTGGGGGGGGGGGGGGAACTTAACCTTTTACCATCTAAAGAAAACAAAAACAAAACCAATCCTCATTGTTCTTTCAATAGCCCTTTGCTCAAATCCAGGTTTACATTAGAAACGGAGACAGAGTTGAAGGAGGAATGGGAAAGCTGGCCATGGACGATGAGGACTACAGGAGTCTCCTCCATTTATTCATTCAGCACTTACAGAGCACCTCCTCGGTCTGTGCGAAGTATGCTGAGAGGCAGTGATGGGCCAGACAGAGAGCCTGTACCCGAATAGCCCACTGGAAGTAAGGTACACAGACTAGACAGTGCTAAGTGCCCCTGAAGAGCAGGGATGAACTTGTGCTGGGAGCTAAGGCTCCATCTGCTTGGAGGAAGTGGTATTTGATATGAGCCTTCAAAGACAGATTAGATTGACAGAGATCTGGTAGAGACAGGAAAAATAAAATCCCAGATCCAGAAGTCTGTAAGGTTTATGGACAAGCCTAAGTTTGACTACTGACCCAAAAACTCTAGCCCCAAACCAGAAGAACCAAAACTAGTTACAATGTTAAACATTTCCTTCTGGGCACATGCTCCTCCCAGCCTCCTCATGCAGGCTTTCTGCGGTCCCTGGCCTGGGAGAAAAGCCCTCATAAGCTCCATCAAGTCATCTCCAATAGGCTTATATCCCCAGAGCCAAGGCTCCTATCCTAACCAGGCAGAGGGGTTCCTTCATTTGACTAATGATGGCAGCAGGCCGGCTTGGAACTTGCAAATGTTCCTTGGGATACTGTCTGCGGGAAGAGGGCTTGTAATGTTTTCCTTGCAATGGTTAGGTTTCTTCTAAAGCTAATGTTTGTGTTAAGATTATTGTCAAATACAGACTGGACCAAGTGGAAGAAGGAGGTGTGTGTAGTTCAGGGTGACTTAAGCAGCTAGTCTCTCCACGCTGATAATAAATTGTTCCTGTCTCCTTTCTGAAACTACCTAGATTCCTAGGCAACCCTGCTCAGAGAACCCGGGATGGGTTCCTTCCCTTCAGGGGGCTCCGGTTTCAGGCAAGCTTTTGTTTATGGTTTTCCAGAGCCCCAGTGGGAGGAATTTTAAGTCTTTTCAATTGAAGGGTCAGTGTGAGGTTATGGGTGGGCACAGGGCATATGTTAGCATAATTATTAAAAGAAGAAACAAGCATTTGATCAACCCCAAAGTAGCTCTCTCTCTCTCTCTCTCTCTCTCTCTCTCTCTCTCTCTCTCTCACAAAGACCCAGACTGAGGGCCTAGTGGAGGTACAGGCAACACTCTCAGCATCCTTTCTCCGACACTACTCATCCTAAGGACCATAGTGACACCCACTGCACATCAGTGTGCCAGCTTCAGAGAGCTCAAATACCACATAAGTGAGAGAAGTGTCCCTTGTCCCGAGAACTAGGCTGGAGACTGCCAGAAGCCAGGCTCACCCTTTCACTTCTAGCATCTCTGGGAGGGCTATCAGGGTGTTTTGAGGACTGAGTGAGATTCATAAATAGACACGCCACGAGGCTCATCACTATCGTGGGTCACTTGGCCCCCACTGAGAATCAGCCAGAACTGTGTGGATCCGTACTTCCTCTCTCTACTCCCAGTGAACCAGGTCTTAACACAAATCTCTCTGTCCTGGGGTTCCCCTCATATGCATCACACATGTGGCAGTTGTCTTCGCCCCGTGGTTCTGCCCCAGTGTCTCATCTGAGGCCATAAAACGTGTCCCAAGGCTTATGCCATCTGCCCCCTATCCAGCATGTTCTCCTGTTTACACATTCCAGTTGTGACAAGCACTCACACAGGCAAGAGGTACTTTTCACAGCCGTTATACCAACACACACACATACACCTTTCTTCTCAAGGACTGTATGAAGTCCTCCTTTCCCCCTCCTTTCTCCTCACTTGGAAAGTTTGAAACACTCCATAATTGTTAGAGGAGGACCCAAACACCGACTTTTAAGAAGCTACCTTAACAAAACAAACAAAAAGTCAGTGTGGTGGAATCTCCACACTTGAGAAGTGTGAACCAGAAGTTCAAGGCTAGCCTCAGCTACACAGGTAGCTGGAAGTCAGCCTGGTCTACAAGAAAGTCTGTCCAAAACCAAACAAACAATATAATGTGATAAACGAAAAGGAAATACCCCCCTCATTAAAAATAAAGAGAAAACCAGCTGCTCACAAACTCTTCATCCAGAGCCAGCATCATGTCCTTACCATCCCCAATCAAGAGGGGAGGGCATGAGATTTCTCATCCTACCTGAGATAAAACGTTCTCCTGGTTGTCCGCCTCGTTTTGCAGAGTGTCATCCTCCGTGGGTGCCACTGTTTCCACATCAGGGGGCTCGCTTGTCCCTGTGGGAGGGGTACTGGACCCCCAGACCCATGTCACCATCAGAGCAAAGCAGAGAACTAATGTCAGAGGACTGGCCATGAGTGACGCGACACACAGGGACCTTAGTCCCTTCAGAGACCACCTTGGGTAGGGGATCTCAGCAAAGACAGGATGGAAGGCGTCTTCACAGGAGTTCGGAAGAGTGGCCGCTCGGAGAGCCGTCTAAAGCTGGGTGCGGCTGAGTGGAGCAGGACTGAACTCCCCAGGGACCCTGAGCATCTCCTCCCTGACCCCAGCAGCCTAGAACTGTGCAGAGAGGGCACAAGAAAGAGGTGACCGAGGGGGCGGAGGCGGCGCCGGTTCGCTGAGGGCGTCACCGCAGGGTGGGCTCAGGTGGAAGCTGGCGCCGGGAAACTCGAAGCACACGGGGACCGAGTGCAGGACGGACAGTGGCCACGGCGCGGGAGGCGAAGGAGGGCTGCTGGCCCAGGGCGCCGCGGGGCTGGCGCGGAGGGAGGGCGGAGCCTCTATTGTGCCGGGGCAGAAAGATGCAGCCAGTGACGGCGCGGAGGAGGAGGACCGGGAAGCGCACAGATTTGGGCTCGGCGCCTGGGGACCCCGCCTCCTCCCGGATCTGCCACTGCGCTAGTGGGCGCTGGCCGGCGTGGGAAGGGCGCGGCTGGCCTTGCTTTGGACGTTAGATACTGACCCCAGTGGGACTTCATGTGTCTTTTCTCGAGTTTTCTTCACGCCCTGACTTGTCCCTGGACTGCAACTTGGACAGAGGAGAAACGCCCGCCAGATTTGACTCCATCGGTAGTGCGGGCAGCTTTGAACTTAAGGCCAATGGTAGTCCGCATGCCTGCCACAACTTTAGAACCTGATACCTCCACCCAGAGGATGCATCTTGAATCTCTGTCAGAGTTAGAATCTCTGTGGCAGAGTTAGATACACGTTTAAAATAAGGATACTGCTACAGGTCTCTAGCGCTCCGTTTGTCCTGGTGACTTCCCAGAACCAAACAACTACCACAGGGAACACCTCTTAAAAATCTCATGGTTTGGGACGAATCGCCAGGCCACTCTTTCGCTCTGACCTGACCATCTTTAAAGGGTGTGTGCTTGCAAGGGCTTGGTAGTATGCTGCCACGCTCTTTAATTAGTGTTCCCTGTATTTGCCTACTCTGAAGATTAACAATGTGTCACTTTCAGAAAGAAGATTCTATCTTCCAGGACAATTGTCTCTGTGAAGATGCTTAGCAGAGCCAGATCAATTCAAGGATTGGACCTCCTGGAGAAATTTAAACACCTTGTCCCTAAAGCTAAGCAACAAGGTTGGAATAAATGTAATAAATCAAACAGACTCCAGCTTAGATATGACAGTTGACAGAAATGTAATATTACCATTTATTAATTGCCATTACTAATATTTCAGTGCTAGGGGTCCAACTAAGGGTCTCCTGGATCCTAGATAAGCTTTCTGACACTGAGCCACATAACTGACCCTAATAATAACAAGTATTAGTATTTTCTTAAAAAGAAAAAAAAAGTTTATGTAGAAAAATCTAAGCCTCTAGATAGGTACTTTTGCAGGAATGCTACATACACGCTTTTCTATGAACACTATCCAATCTTGTCTGAAACTGGATGGGGTTAATGCTATAAAGGTCGTTTTCAAGTCCAGTTAAAATAAATGTTGAGGGCTGACTAAATCCAAGGTGATAGTCAGCAAGGCGTTTCCTGGGTAGATCCGGGAGGTGCGAGAAGCAATGGGGACCCTAAGGCAGATTACAGCCATATCCTGCATAGCTTCAAGAAGAAGCAGGCCATGCTAGCGAGGTCAGTAAAGATTTGATGGAAGAGTGAGACTGAGGAGGGTGACCATCACAGTGAGGACATTTCAATGGTAGTAGATAGATCCGATGCATCCTGGATGCATTTCTGGGCAGATGGCAGCCTTAATCTTCACATTCTCTTTTCAGATGACAATCACCGGTCAGGAGAGCCTTTCCTGACCCAGGGTGGTTCCTCTGTGGTGATGTGTTCCTACAGGACTGGTTGTTGGGAATTTATCTGTCTTTCCCACTGTAACACGGCAGAGACTGTTACATCTTCAGCGTGCCACCAGTACCTGGAGCACTGTCTTAGATACTTTTTTACTGCTATGATCAAACACCATGCTCAAGGCAACTTAAAAAAGAAAGCATTTAATTGGAGCTCATGGTTCCAGAGGGTAGTAGAGTGCATGACCATCATCGGGGGGGAGTATGGTGACAGGCAGGCAGGAGCAACAGCTAAGAGCTTACATCCCAGTGATGCGGGAGAATTGTCTGTATTCTGTCAATCATATTTTAATAAAACACTGATTGGCCAGGCAGGCAGTATAGGCGGGAAAACCAGACAGGAAGTAGAGGTGATGCAATGAGAACAGGAGAATTCTGGGAAGCAGAGAGGTTCTTCAGCCATTCCTGTGCAGACCACCGAAGAGACAGCATGTAACCTGCCCAGCTGAAAAAGGTATGGAGCCATGTGCTAACATAGATAATGATAATGGATTAATGTAAGTTCAAGGACTAATAAGGAGCCTGACCTAATGGGCCAATCAGCTTTATAACTTATAGAGTTCTCTGTGTGATTAATTTTCTTTGGGGCTTGCCGGTTGCGGGGTATTGGGCGGGACAGATACCCCAACAAGCCGGCCCTCATGCTACATCCCGGTTTGCAGGCAAAGGACAGAGAGGGAAACTGGGCTTTCAAAAACATAAGCTTTTGAAACCCAAAGCCACTCCTAGTGGCACGCCTCCTCCAACAAAGCCATACCTTCTAATTCTTTCCAAAGAGTTCCATCAACTTTGGACAAAACATTTAAATGTATGAGCCCCATGGGGGTAAGGAGGACATTTTCATTCAAAATACCACAAGCACAGTGGCCACTCGATGACTATTGGTTGAATAAATAGAAGCTACAAGTAGTCTAACTGGATGTATTTATTCCCCATTGCCTTCATCAACAGCATCTTTGTATTCACAAACCAGAGACTCCTACTAGCAATGACCTAATCAAATATACATTTCCCCCTAACTATAGGAGTTGGCTATAGAGCTGCTCAGTGTAATCAAGGAACCTACCAAACTCTTTTCATTATCTACCCTACTGTTACTAGGGTATTGGCATGTTGACCTGATCATAACTGGTTTAAGCTTGATTTGCCTACCCATAGTCAGATACTCAATTTTCTTGTCTCCTGTACAGCAAAACGTAGCCATAGGATTCTGTGTTGCTCAACAAATTGAACAAGCCTGCAAGGAGTTTCCAGAAGATATATTCAATCCCCAGTGAGAAACCAATGGGAAAGTGGGGGCTTTCTGTCGCTACCCCCCTCCCTCTTTTCTTTGAATGGGTCATGGTGCTTGGAGCTAGAGCAGCTGTTCTTGAGGCCGTGAATCTCTATTTTTCTTACCAGAGGATTACTTCTTTCTCCAGTTCACTCTTTTCTTTTAAATTGTTTTTATTGAGCTATATGTTTTTCTTTGCGCCCCTCCCTTCTTTCCCCCTCCTCTTCTACCTCTCCCATGATCCCCAAGCTCCCAATTTACTCAGGAGATCTTGTCTTTTTCTACTTCCCATGTAGATTAGATCCATGCATGTCTCTCTTAGGGTCTTCTTTGTTGTTCTTCCTAAGACTCACTCTTAAACTATCTTTGAAATATTCAACTCTATGGTCCCAAAGGACGTGCTTAAGAGGTCTCCACCAGAGAGCTTTTCTTTCTTGTGATGATACAAATTACACACCTTCTAAATCACTCATTCTTTGAATAGGTCCCTGTTCTTCCTCCATTTGAGTATCTTTCTCAGATCATGTGGCTTTCCAGGTCCTCTGTTACTCTCTCTGACTCTCTCTGTCTCTCTCTCTGACTCTGTCTGTCTCTTTGTCTCTCTCCCCCAGTTTGAGGAAAAGTTGGAGCACAGAAAAAATAGGTTTACTTTTTCTTAACTCTGCTCTTTTAAGAAGGCATTTTGGTTTTGATTTTTGAGACAGGGTCTCATTCTAGCCCACGATGGCCAAGAACTCAGTATTTAGCCCATCCTGGCCTCAAACTCATGGCATTTCTTCTACATCAGCCTCTGTAGCACCGGTGTTACCAGTGTGAGTCACCACACTTGCTTTCCTGGTACTGCTCTTTCATTAATGAAGCATGCAGCCACCTCAGCTTGGCAGTCACATTTCACAAGTGATTCACGTTGATTTATTTTTTAATGTAGTTTTCATTTTTCATATGTAAGTTTTATGTTGGTTTCTTCTATTCTCTGCATTCTAGTGATTTTTGTTTAACCCAAATATGGACTTTTTACATTTTTGACGCTGAAAATTATGGTGGGTTTAGTTCATCATTTCAACCTGTTGAAAGCATGATTTTTTTAAAAAAAAGATCTTTGTTCTAACTTTGGGTGAGTTCCAAATTTAATAAGTAGAATTTCTGTCTTTATTCAAGTCATTTTTTAAAAATGTTCATTTAAATGGGGTTAGTGTGGCTAGCTTTACACCCATCATAAAAAGACTCTCCTCAGTGTTCCTTTCCTGCCTGCCTCCCTGCCTGCCTCCCTCCCTGATTTCCTATCTCCCTGCATCCCTCCCTGCCTGTCTGCCACCTTCCCTGCCTGCCTGCCTATCTGCCTCCCTCCCTCCCTAACTCCCTGTTTCCCTACTTATTGAATCCTGGCCTTCACATTGGTTAAGCTGTGACTCTACCACTAAGTTACCAACCACTTTCCCTTTTGGAGTTTGAGTAGCCAGTCAAAGATGCTGATGCCCAGGCCACATGTTCTTAGGACATGTTCAAGCATTCCCTAGGAATCCTTTGTGATGTGTCTTTTGGAAATCTCTATCCCACAGCATCCTTCTATTTGCTAATCTGGTACCCTGATCTGTTGAGACTGAGTTGGGCTTTCAAGCCACAGAGTTATCTACTGTAGACTCCCCAGATCCCTTGCTAAGAGCCTGTTGACTTCAAGTCCTTCAACCCTCAGTGTGTTCGTATAAAGTAAATACAATCCTCCGTGCCTAACAGTTGAAGTCACCAAGGTGCCAAGACAAGAAAGAGTCTGCGTGCTGGCAGCGCTGCATTGAGAGCCAAGCCTATGCCAGGTATCAAGTGACCCCCAAATTGGTGGCATCACTTCCTCTTACAAATGTGGACATGTATGTGGAGTGGGACATTCTGTGGAAATGTTCAAAAGGGTCTCAGGAGCCCCAAGTGTGCTACTTCAGCTCTCAGAGGCCCGGGACACTTCCCGTTTTTGCCTGCCAGTATATTGGTACATGCATGGGATTGCCTGACTACCTCAGCCATCACCCTGCCGCCCAGCCCCCACCAAGTTTGCTTTTGGCAGGAGCATCTGTTTTCCCATTTACCCAGGAGCCCCCTGGCTTTCCTCGGAAATGTCAGTCTGTTGCCAACCAAGGCTTCATTTGCCAGGTGGGGCTGGTGGCTAGAAATGACCTGCCACCTCCGTGTGTAATTTAGAAAAAGCACCTGCCCCACAGCAGCAGAATCAAAGAGCATAGCAGGGTCCCATGAGCAACATCATTCTGCCATCTCCCTTCCCTGGCTGGCTAAGAGTCGGAGCCAGGCCAAGGAATTGCAATAAATGCGGGACGGAGGGAGGGAGAGAGGAGAGCGCAGGCGAAAATGAGGTCTTTCTTCCCTGGTCTCTCTGCTTCGCTGCTTTCTCGTTGTATTTCACCCTTGGTCGTCTGTGTTCTCGCTTCTTCAGTTCAGCTTAACTCAGTTCCTGAACATACACGGGGAGCCAGGTGCCCTCACTGGGCACAGCACGCTGGAATACAGCGTGGTTACAGCATGGCCTTGGACTTCAGGAACTCACGTTCTAGAAATCATGACGATAGGGACTGAGAACATGGCTCAGCAGAGATGAAGAACTTCCTTCGCAAGTGAGAGGACCAGCATTTGAATTCCGTCACTCACATAAAAAGCTGGCAGAGTGGTGTGTGCCTATAATTCCAGCACTGGGTGGCAGAGACAAGAGGATCCTGGGGGCTTGCTGGTCAGCCAGGCCAGTAGAGGGCCTGTCTCAAAATATAAAATAGAAATAAAGTAGGTAATAGAAGAAGACAGCCAATATCAGAGCCTGGTCTCCATATAAGCACTCGGGGATACACACACACACACACACACACAAGATCCTAGGCATGGGTACAAACGAGAACTCTTTTCCCACCACAGATTTTTTTTCTTGTCAAGTAAGAATACGTGTTTCTTCTTTGGATTTCTCCAGTGTTTAATGACATCTATATTTATTTACTATACTAGCCATTGACATTTCTCTTTTTATTAAACCAAGATTTATACAGTAAAATGTAAATTTTAAATAATAGTAAAATCAGCATGTGCTTATCAAGCACAAATTACGTTTTCAATAAAGATATGCTGTTTAGGTTCTGGATGCTGAGCCAAAATATATTGCCTGCTTTCTATTTCCTCGCATTTTCTATGTATTCCACAAAAGGGCATTATTCCTCCCTATCTCCTGAGACTTGGTCAGCATGCTTAGATGTATATTATCTTTGACGGACAGCCTCTCCCTCCTACCTTGGTGAATCTGCTCCCAGCCCAACGTCTCACCACCCTCTGGGCAACTCCGATTTCAGAGAGACTCTAGAGCCAGGTATGCTTTGTCGGTGAACTTGGGACTCAGCTCAGTGATCCAGCTCCGATACCTTCACACTGGGGTCTGGGGTAAAGCTGTGAAAGCCAGTGTGCTGGCCAGCTTGCTCCATAGCTGGACTTCCTCACCAGCACCAGGACAGCAGGTGTGAGGCACTGGTGTGCTGTGGAATGTTAGTTTAAGACGTGCTACATTTGTTTATGCTGTGGAACATTTGTTTAACGATGTAAAGAGGTGTTACATTCTTTATGCTGTATTTGTTTCACTCTGAGAAGCTGTGTTACTCTGCCTGCCTAAAACACCTGATTGGTCAAATAAAGAGCTGAGCAGCCAGCAGGAGAAGAATAGGTGGGACTGCCAGGCAAAGAGAATAAATAGGAGGAGAAACTGAGAAGAGGAAGGAGAGAAAAAAGGAGAAGGGGAGGAGGACACTAGGGGCCAGCTACACAGCCAGCTGCGGAGCAAGAAGGGAAGAAAGATATACAGAATAAATAGAGAAAGGCAAAAAGCCCAGAGGCAAAAGGTAGATGGGATAATTTAAGTTAAGAAAAACTGACTAAAAGCAAGCTAAACTATAACCAGACATTCATAAGTAAGAAAAAGTCTCTCTATTTCTTTGGGAGCTGATGGCAGGCCTCCCAAAGATCAAAGATTAAAAACAAACAAACAAACAAAACAAAACAAAAACAAACAAAAAAAACCTATACTGGTTCCTTTGTTTGGAGCAGAGAGAAAGTCAACTTTCTATCTGGAAAGAGAGAGAAAAAAACTGAGTATCAGTCAGAAATGGTGGATTGCATCTGTATTCCTAGCAATCAGGAGGTAGGGACTGGAGCATCAGGAGTTCAAAGCCAGCGTTGGCTACCTACACAATTTAAGGCCAGCCTGAGCTACATGACACTTGTCTCATAAAGCAGAGGAAAAAAGTAAGAAAAACGGGAAGAGAAAAAGAAGTGAGTCAGAGAAGTGGTGCCTTGTTCTCTTTACCATTGCTGTGGTGAGTTAGTCTGACAAGAAGCAGCATAAGGGAGAGAGTGGACTCGATTTATAGCTCCAGATTTTTGTCCCTTGTGGCAAAGAAGTCACAGTGGCAGGGGTTTGACAGAGCTGCTCACATCACATCCACATTCGGGAAACAGAGATGGGAGAATGAGCGTTCAACTTACCTTCTCCTTCTGCCGTCCAGGGTCTCCCAGCCAGGGAATGGTCCTGCCTGCTGTACGGGAATGGGTGTGGGAATGGGTCTCCCCACACTGACAATGTGATCAAGATTATTTCTCACAGGCATGCTGAGGGGCCTGTCTTCCACCAAGCTGACAGACAGTTAACACTGGCTATCACAGGCAATCAAGACTTAGCTGAACTTAGTCCTTTCTGGAACATGTTCTATGGACTTTGGTGTCCAGCATGGACTCCAGTGTTTGCCTCTAGTGACTTGTGTTTGTCTATGGGTCTCAATTTCCATCTTAATGTGGAAGAATCATACTCTTCCTGTGTCAGAATGCTGAGACACACAGTAAGGGTAGCCTGGGCTACATTATGAAACCCTGTCTCAAAAGCCAACAGCAGAACTAAAATATTATTCTCCTCTGTTTTCTCTGTGCCATGATCACCCATGTGTCTTTATCCTTTCCAAAGAAAAAAGAAACCCCACCCCCTCAAACTTCTCCCCCTCTCTTTTTCCTTCTTCTCCTCTTTCCCTCTTCCTCTTTCTCTTCTTCTTTCCTTTCTTTCTGTTGTTTTGAGACAGGTTCTTAATCTAGGCCCTACAATTTATGAAGTCTGCTAAACCTGCCTGGAGTTTGCAGTTCCTCCCGTTTCAGCTTCCTCAGTGATGGGATTATAGGAGTGAGTCACCTTCTGCCCCCCAGCCAAACCAATAATTCTCTAAAGCTACAGCAATGTCTGTGATCTCAGAGCCTAGACCGTGGAATCAACTGCCAACGCTTAGCTTTGCTGACAAGGCAGCCAGACACCAATGCCCAGGTAGCTGTAGCCTGAGGGGTGGTGGGTGGGGGTCATCTCTATGGCAGGGCAGGGCAAGGAAACCACTGAGGGGAAGTGGCACCAGCATTTCTACCTGACGCCGGGTCCTGAGCGAAAAGTCACCTCACTCCAGACGTAAAGACACCCAGCTATGTGCTCTGAGAGCCAAAGTTCCCATCCAGGGAGACACCTGAAATAAAAACCACACGACTGAGATTTGGAAAGACCTCTGGAGCTTCCACTTCGTCTTCAGCTGGCATCTCTTCTCTCTCATGTAAAACACAGCTCAAGCCGTTGGGGAATTTCCCACCCCCATCCTAACCTTCCTTCATCTCTCTGATTTCATTCAATGCCCCATCTGTTTTTCTCTCTTCCTCACTCGCTTCTGGCGAGGAAATAAAAACAGTTGGCGTTTTGTTATCTGAAAGTGGTACGTGTGGTTCCTGAGCAATAGTGCTTCTGGCCAAGAGCCGGGTTCCTTTCTCAGAGCACCAGACCCAGCGCGGAATGCCTAGAAACGCACTGCCTCTCGGTACCTGCAGGGGGATCCGACAAGGTGCACAATGTCTCTTTAGGCTGACAAGATGTGACTGTTTGAATAAGGATGGCCCCCACAGGTTTATAGATTGGAATATTTGGTCTTTAGGGAGCGGCACAATTTGATGGGGATTAGGAGGTTTAGGAGGTGTGGCCTTGTTGGAGGAAGTATGATGGGCTTTGGGATTTTTTCAAATGCTCAAACCAGGCCCAGTGTCTCTCAGTTCCTCCAGCACCATGTCTGCCTGCCTGCTGCCTTGCTCCCTGCTATGATGATAATGCAGTAAACCTCTGAAACTGTAAGCCAGCCCCAAATAAATGTTTTCCTTTATAAGAGTTGCCATGGTCACGGTGTCTCTTCACAGCAATAGAACATGGACCAAGACAGAGGCCTTAAACAATTCATCTTGTTTAGTCTTCACAACCATCACACAGAGTGGGTATGACCTTCAGGCTGCAGGTAAGAAGAAAATGAAGCTGAGAGCTGGACTAAATTGTTGAAGGCGAAACAACTGGAAAATAGCACGCTAGTTGGTTTGTTTCTGAGGTGGGGTGTACCCTGCCTGCTCTGAAATTCTCTGTGTAGCCCACAGGGGCTGCAAACCCACAGTTCTCTTGCCTCAGTCTTCCCAGTGCTATGGTGTCTGGCTATGGACAATTTTGCTCACAAGAGCCTAAACTAAAAATAACTCAAATATGTTTATGAATTAAAGACCATTTTTTAAAAAATGTGATATATATTTCTGCAGTGGACTGATATCCAGTGAAAGAAATACAAGCTGGAATTCTAAGTGGTGATAGGAAAATTCAAATGAATTTCTGCCTTCTATTTCGTTTATGGTTTTTCTGAGTGGACAAAGGTCTCCCGGTCAGGAGAAGCACAACTTCCTATGGCAAAAACAGACTTTTGTGACCTTTGTGGTTGTGAAAGGAGGTGTGTTTGATAGCAAAATTTAATTCTTTCCTATAGAAAAATGCAGAAGATAAGATCTGGTACAGATAATAACAGAAACAAAGCCAAAAATATTGTGCTGAACCAAAACAAACAAATGAAAATGGCCAGACAAAATAAATAAAGTCATACTGACAATATTGTGTCATTGCCTCTTCAGAGATGTTGATACTGACAGAAAGAAAGAGAAGGCGACCTTTCTGGGGCTGAAGAAACATTCTGCGTCTTGATATGGATTGTATTTTCTCGTGTGCACATGGCAAGAATCAATACATTTAAGGCTTCTGCCTTTTTCTGCATGAAAGGGTTAAATTTTGCTATCAAGTGTGCCTTCTTTGTTTGCTTGATTAGTTGGTTGATTTTTCAAGATGGGGTTTCTTTGCAGCCCTGGCAGTCCTGGAATTCACGCTGTAGACCAGATGACCTCACACCGACAGAGAGCCACCTGCCTCTGCCTCCTGAGTTCTGGGATTAAAGGCCTGCACCACCACCGCCTGATAGAAGTGTGTCTCCTTTCACAATCCCAACAGCTGCAAAGTCTGCTTTTGCTATAGGAAGCTGTGCTTCTCCTGACAGGAATTCCTTTGTCCATTCAGAAAAGAATAAATAAATAAATAAATGGAAACAAAAGGCAGAAATTCATTTGAACTTCCCTATCATCTCTTAGAATTCCAAGATTGCCACACACTTGGGGTCTGAGAGAGTGCCCTCTGTCTTGGCCTGTAGTTGTGTCTGAGGGGTGGCCAGAACTAAGCTGAACTGTGTTGAAACAGAGGAAAGCCCTCATGTAAAGTGAGCATTTTCAGAGTAAGACCGGAAAGAATCCTTGAACCTAGGAGAGAAATTTCTACGTCTAACTCCAGATTCTGCTCCAGCATGCTACTAGTACAGTTAACGTCTGTGGTCAACCTGACAGGAGCTACAGTTAGCAGCCGAGCCTCTGGGTATGTCTGTGAGGCATTGTGTAGAATGGAGGGGAGCAGCCTCTTAAGTGTGGGCGGCACTGTTCGTGGACCAGGGTCCTGGGCTGAATCAAAAGGAGAAAGCAGGTTGATTCCTCACTCCTCAAATCCCGGCTGGGGTGCAATGGGACCAGCTGCCTTGAGCTCCTGCTGCCCTTACTCCCCGCCATGGTGGACTGCACCCTTCAACTCTGAGCCAAAATAAGACTGTTCCTTAAGTTGCTTTATTGGGGGTTTTGCCACAGCAACAGGACAATTAATCCCATCGCTACAGTGTCCCAAGGCCCCTGGGCATAAAGGCTTGGTCCCAGCCTGTGGCACTGTTGGGGAGAGGCATAGCCTTTGAGAAATGCGTCTATTGAGAGGTCTTCAGGTCAGTGAGGTGAACCCCCAAGAGGAGAGTAGAACCCCCAGACCTTCCCTCTTTTCTTTTCCTTTTAGCTAGGATGTAATCAACTTTTCTCCACTCCCACCAAAATGCATCACCCCCTTAATAGAGCTCTAAAGGCATGGGTCCCCCAACATTGACTAGAAGCCTTAAAGCTGTGAATCCGAAGAAGACTCTTTGGAACCTCTTGAAACTGGGTGTTTGCCGTAATGACAGAGGCTTCCACAGACTCTATGACTCCATGTCTGCGATGTCTCTTGCTAAAATCGACTGCAACCCTCAAGTGCCTATGTACCTACAACCAGCTTTAGCGCATACTCTAGTCATGAGTGTCTGGCCCTTACTGGGCTGTAGTATGATAGAAGTTCCAGTGGGAGAAGCCTGCCTCTAGGTGGTAGTCACTAGAGCAAGGGTATGTGGAAAGGTATTGAGTTACTGATGGGCTCAGAACTGCATGACTGCAATTTATATAAACACACACACACAGAGAGAGAGAGAGAGACCTTTGCACTATTGTGAATTGTCAATATATTTCATTATTGAGTGCTTGTCAACTGAAGTTTTGTCATTATCCCATTTTTTAAAAGTAAAAAATAAAAATGAAGCTTCCAGCAATGAATGAATTTCTCCCACAGTAAACAGAATCATTTTATAACTTTTTTTTTATAGTTTTGCTGTTTCTTTTCCCTGTTCTTGCAGCCTGCTTTTGTGGTAACTGATTTATTCTACTGGTGCATTTAGATTCCTTGCTGATTCACTATGGTGTGTCTAGTACACATTTTGTTCTGTAGATTCCACGAGGCATACAGAAAATGCCTTCTGATTCTAACAAGCTCTCTTGAAAGGAGAGGAACATGATATGATCCTAAAGAAAAACAAGAGTGGGGAGAACGAGAGGAAATACAGAATAAAATACCACATTTGCATTCCACGCCGCCCCTCATTTTGACGTCCCATTTTATATCGCTCTGCGTGGCCCATGTCTAAGGCTAGTTTTGACTCCAGTTCATGCCCTATCCTGAATGCTTGCTTGGCTTTTAAAAGCCTGGCCTCAGCACCTCACCTACAAACTTTATCTTTTTCTATAATCCCACACTTAATGATACTCTAATCACTCTAAACAGCAGGGTCACACAAAAATAGCTGACCATAGTCTGTGGGTAGTGAGATATTTCAGCCCAGGAGACAAGGCATCTGGTCCCAGCATTGCCACGTCAGTGGTGTGTACTTGGAAAGCCACTGACCCCTCTTGGAAGTGCCAGACCTCGGTTTTGTATACTTGCTCAGAAATTGGTTTGGTCGGGTGCAGTGGCGCACACCTTTAATCCCAGCACTTGGGAGGAGAGACGGGAAGATCTGTGAGTTTGAGGCCAACCTGGTCTACAGAATGAGTTCCAGGACAGGCTCCAAAGCTACAGAGAAACCCTGTCTCAAAAAATAGAAAGAAAGAAAGAAAGAAAGAAAGAGAGAGAGAGAGAGAGAGAGAGAGAGAGAGAGAGAGAGAGAGAGAGAAAGGAAGGAAGGAAGGAAGGAAGAAAGAAAGAAAACCATTATTTGACCAAATGATTCCCAAGTGGCTCCTTTTCAACTTAAGATGCCAGATTTTTTGTTTGTTTGTTTTTTTGAAATAAGTTTTTTTCTGTGTAGCTCTGGCTATACTGGAACTCACTTTGTAGATCAGGATGGCCTCGAACTCAGAGATCCACCTGCCTCTTTCTCCCAAATGATAGGATGGGCCATCACTGAACAGCAAGATGCCAGATTCTTGAGCATAACCAAGCAACTTGATTTATTGATCCTACTGTGTGTTCTCAAACATAATGGCCTTAAATATAGTTTTCTACAGAAAACAGATGCCTTGTATCCATATTCCTGTAAATCCATTAATTGCTGCAGGAAATTTTGAATACCTGAGATATGGAAAGTGTGGAAGTTCTGTGTTTTCATGGTATCCTCCTCAACAACTCTTTATGTTTTCTTAAATTCTAATCTGATGACTGCACAGCTACTGTGTACCAGGTAAGTGGTGGGGGACTAGCGGAACTACCCCAAGTCTGGCTGGGATGAGAGAATTTGCTGGCCACTCTTGGTGGACACTTCCTGTCTCAGGTGGCCCTGGTGTTGAACTGTAGCTGGGGACAAGCTAAGTATTGAGAGCAGCTGATGACGGTGTCAGTCCTTCATTGTTTTGACCTTACACTTCTCCAAGTCCTGCTGGAAGACAGATGTGTTTTCCTCCACGTCATAGGCGAGAGAACAAAAACTTTGCCCGTGGTTCAGAGTCCATCTTAGAACCCGGGGCTTATCTGTTCATACATCCACCCTCACTCGCTCACACTGTGAAGTGAGGGCTTGTTCCTGGGCTCCCCAGCCCATGGCACTCATACTTCTGGGAGGACTTGAAAATATTTCAGATGCTGGGTACTCACTTTCAATTTTAATAGCTTGCTGGTTTTGTTTTGTTTTGTTTTTGTTTCATTCTGAAATGTATTAGAAAGACAGCACATTGGGGCTGGAGAGATGACCCTGTGGTTAAGAGCACATACTACTTACAGAGGACCTGAGCTTGGGTCCCAGCACCCATGTCAGACAGCCCACACCTTCTCCAATAAGGCCACATCTCCTCCAACAGGGCCACACCCCCTAATTCTTCCTAAACAGTTCAACAGCTGGGAAAAAAATATTCAAATATGTGAGCCTATGGGGGCATTCTTATCCAAACCACCACAGGGGGTGTGTGGTGTCTAGTTTGCCTAGCCCTTTTCTTTCCCTTATAAGATCAAAATTGATAACTATATTAGTGCAAATTTACAAACCCTGGCTTAAGGTCTTACCTTTCCTAAGGGCTCAAAGGGCTGGTTCTTCAATCATAGAACTTGGTGGCATACTGCCTGGATTCCCAGGGAGCCAACCCCAGTGTCCAGCACACCTTTGAATCTCTAGTGTAAGTAGAATTTCTAAGCCAGCCCTGAAGGAGAAAGCTTGGCAGGATGGAGCCCAACCAGCAGATGGCGCTCATACCACTCTGAAAAATCCTTTGGCAGCTCCTTGGCTGCTTGGCGGTTTTCAGGCTTGGAGTATAGTGACACCTGGTGTCTGGTGTCATTTCCCAAACCCATCAAATTGCTAAATTCATCTTCTCTAGCCCCAAGTCCACTTCCACCCTTGTCTCTGACTCCTCTGTACAGAGGCAGCTGCGAGGCAGGAAACCTCACACATTCCATGACATTAGTCTCATGCCCAGGTCTACCAGTGTGATTGAGCTATTCTATCAGATCGCTGCCTCTTGCTACTGACTTTTGGGGGCTTGTAAGCTCATCTTTTATTGCACAATTTTCTAAAACATTGCTGTGGTTTAAATGTCCTCACCGAACTTGGGCTGAAATAGAATCCCCGCTGTGAGATCTTAAGAGGTGTGACCACCTCCTAAAGGTTCTACAATCTCCCAAACCGGAGCTGCTGACTGGGGACCAAACATTCAAACCTGTGAGTTCATGGGGCACATTTCACATCTAGACCATAATGCTTCCCTTGCATCCTTCAAGACTTGATGGTTGTACAAATTCTATAACCCCCCCTAAGAGTGTAGCATGGCTTTGGGGTCACCATTTTCCCAGACAGAGACATCTCTGATGCTTCTAATTAATCTCCCCCACTATAATGGCCTTTACCCCATAGGTTAGGAAACCAATGTGCAGATTCTACAGAGACTAGATATGTCTAGTCTAACCCAGCACTAACACCTAGAGAAACCCCCTCAAGGTAGTTGCTGGAACACACTGGACCAACTGTGAGTCAGACCTAACATAAAATTTCCCCTTGGTCACATGACCTCCACGAACCTCTTAACACTGGCTGGAGGGCTACAGTGATGTTTTGGGTTTTCTAGAATCAATGTCTTTTCAGAGGCAGTGCCCAGATCTAAGTAGATCCTTTTCTCCAATGTACTGCCACCTTTGTGAAAGACCATGAGTCTTCTGGGGAAGGCAGAGGGAAATACTACATCAGGATGGGAAGAGTGCACTGGATACATCTTTAGGAATATATGGGAAGGCATTGCCTCTGAACGGACATTTCTTCTAAGTCAAGTAAAAATGTAGTAGCCTTTGTACCTACTTCACCTCTAGAAACTTCATGATCACTGTCTTAGTTAGGGTTTCTATTGCTGTGAAGAGATGCCATGACCATGGCAACTCATATAAAGAAAAACATTTAATTGGGGCTGTCTTACAGTTCAGAGGTTCAGTCCATTATCATCATGGTGGGACGCTTGGCAGCAT